GGGAACAGAAACCTCAGCGGGCTGAGCCATTATGAAGTTTCTTTGAAGCAGGATTGCTCCTTTTTGTCATTAGGCATCAAATCCCTTGTCCAGACAGCTGCCAAAGCTGTCTCTACCTATATGCAAAGCATGTTAACAGGAACGCACTTCCACAGCTCTACCGAGTCCTTGTACCCAAATATTCTGGCTTAGAGTTTTCTGAATGTAGAAGAAATTAGACAAAATTATTTGCTAAATTTTCACAGATGAGAAGAAAAAGGACAGGTGTAAATATTAAAATCAATGATCGCTGTATTCCTTTTACAGTTGCTGCTTCAGGTTCACGGCCCTAGCATTGTGCATGCTGGCTCACTGTCACAATGTCATGGCTTACTGGGACACTGGGACAACAAAGCCATTATTATTGCCATTAGTAACACCTGTGCTTTTCCAATTTGTCATTTCCAATGTGCTACCAAAGTAACGCACCTTTGCTTTTGTTACTATGATGAGTCACAGTTACTGCTGTGAGAAAAGCGTATTAATTCTAATTTGGATTGGCCCCAAAATGGTAACGTAAGTGTTTATTTAGAATGGGGACAACACAGTTTAAAGGGGCCACATCATGGTAAGTCAGGGAATATTATGCTTTGTTATTATTAAATAATGAGTATTTCAATAAATCAAATACATTTTATAAATATTCACACTTAATAAGAATTAGTAAATAGAAGTAAATAGTTCCTTGAAAACTGAAAAATAAAACAAAGTTTGCAGAGCAACTATTCAACGTGATAGGGTGTTTATTGTAATCACTTATAGTTTGTGGTGTTCTTCTACAGTTAGACTGTCTAATGTTTTATTTGATAGTGTAAATTGATATGACCTTCATTCTTTGTGATACAAGATAGCAAGTCTGATTTGTGTAAGCACCACTTGGCTTTGGCTTGAAGACCTGTTAGAGAATGATTTCCCCTCACAGTTTATCCACCTGCTCTTCAGATTATTCGTATCTGGCTGCCTGTTTCATCACTGGCTGTGTTTCCATGCATGGACTAATGTAGTTACTGGGGAAAACGTTTTTACATCAGAAATAAGAATGGCAGGATGACAGACAGAGAGCAAAGGAGGCTTAAACACATGATTCAAGCCTCAGTGTTTTGCTCTTCCAATTCTCTCTTCCTGATGTCCATGATGAAACGAACTTCCTGTGTTACTTGGCAGCTTGATAAAGTTCAGATGACTGAAGTTTTAGATTATAGATGCGTCAGATTTATCTAACGTTACTAGTGGGCTGCTGTAATAAAATGTGTAATTTGGAAGAATGATAGTCACCAAACATTTACTGGAGCAACTGGATATTGTTCTTAATATTACTGGTTCACTACAACTATATTTTGTTTAAATTAAGAAGAACAAAGTGTGTCCCTCCCTAAAAAGGGAAGAAACACTATTTATATTTTAATAGGTGAATTTGCCTTTACTATCACTTTGCCCCCAACCATGCATACTTTACCTTGACTTTTAACACTCGCTGTTGGCAATTTAAAGGCTGCTATTAAGTTTGTTATTGTGCAGCACCATGGCATTCCCATACTGATGCTTCTACTGCGATCAGTAGCTTGACATTTCCACTCTCTGCTTTTTAAATGTACATCTGTGTTGAGCAACCTCAAAATTACCACTTGTAAGAGGTAATTTGTGATTCACTTTCAACTGACAAGAAACATCAACAGCCACAGTAATTTTATGCTACTTCACAAACCTGCGTTATCCATTTCTGTGTGCATGAATGTGCAATGATTGACTACTCGGTATTCCCACCCAGTGAGGCTGAATCAATCACACACACAGAAACACAATTAAAGAAAACATATCCAAGCAAACTTGAGGTGAATGAATTATTCTTACAAGTCGACTCTAAAAGCCTTGTAATCCCCACAGTGGAGCACAAAGCCCATCATCTCATGATGAATAGTAGCAGCATCCACAAACACAAGAGGCTGATGCTATACAACAAACATAATTTAAGTAGCCATTTTCTTCCCAATGAGGCACACAGGAAATGTAAAAGAACTCTAATCGGACAACTGACATCTGACATGCATGTATGAATTTAATTGACTAGCTACCATGGTGCTCTTTGTAATTACAGAACAATCTGTGAAAGCTTATTGACTGCATTAACATCTAATTTAAAACAATGAATTGTAAAAATAGGAAAAAACTTTGTTGGTTATTTTATATTTGCACCACATTTGACATGGAATACTTACCTTTTCTGCTGATTGTGAGGTCCCAAAGAAGATGGGGATAAAGGCAAGCCATACGATGCAGGTGGTGTACATGGTGAAGCCGATGGGCTTGGCTTCGTTGAAAGTCTCGGGAACCCCTCTGGTCTTGATGGCGTAAACTGTGCAGGTGACCATCAGCAGCATGCTATAACCCAGCAGACAGATGAGGGACAGGTCTGATATATCACATTTCAGAACACCCCGGGCCTTTTTAGGATTGGCTGTACGCTGGTCTTCGTAGTCGATGATTGCTTGTGATGGGTCAACACCAAACCAGATGCACACTCCAAGGAGCTGCACTGATATCAGGCTGAATGTGATGACTAACTGGGAGGCTGGAGAGATGAATCGAGGGGCACTGACCGACATCTTGCCCTGCTCAAAAATCCTGTAGATCCGATTTGTCTTGGTAAGCAGTGCTGCATAGCTTATGCTCATACCCAGGCCCAGGAAAATCCTTCGCAGGGAGCATATAAACACATCAGGAGTAGAGATCATGAGGAATGTTGTAGCATAGCACAGAAAGATCCCTGTCAGCAGCACATAGCTCAGTTCTCGACCTGATGCCTTAACAATGGGTGTGTCATTGTAGCGTACAAAGGTGACGACCACAAACAGAGTGGCCATGATGCCCAGGACAGCGATGAGGACAGGGATGACTGCCCACGGGGAGCTCCACTCCAGTTTGACAATGGGAATGGGATCACAGCCAGTGTGGTTCTCATTTGGCCTCAAATCAAAGCGACACATCTTACAGGTGTAAGTGTCTGCCTGATACTGGTAACCATCACAGTTCTCGCAGTGCCAGCAACATGGAATTCCCTTCACTGTCTTCTTGCGCTGCCCAAGACGGCAGGGTTGGCTGCATATAGAGTAGGGGACTTCTTGTGTTGCACCAGGCCACTGCATCTCATTGGTCTGAAGGGAAACGTATAAGACATGAGAGAAATTTGCAGAAATTACCAGTTTATTCCGCCTCACCATACTAACATTATTGTATTAAACCAAAGGTAAATAAACACTGTGCCAAGTCATTTTAGCAAAAACATTAGCACAATTTACTTCATAATGTTACACTAGTTACATATTAAACAACATGCTACATAATGCATGAGGACACAATTCAATTAACACTTGGTAGATTAGTTTACACACACAGAAGTGCATGATAGAATGAACAAACTGTAAATGGGATATTCACCACATGAAAGCCTCAGTCTTTTTATCAAGACATCATTGTGTAAACTCATTGAATTATAACTCAACAGGAAACAACTTTGCTGTTTAATTACTTCCAAGGATTGTTGCACTTACTGGAGAAAAGATAAGTAAATAGAGTCTAGCTGCGTGGTACTGCAGTCTCAACACAGCGGAGTGCAGTATCGTGTGCCTGTGCTGTTGCACTGATGTTATTTATTTTTAATACACCACAGTTTTCTTAAGAGGCCTTATTAAGTAAAATAGGGTGTGGAAAGGGATGGGCAATATTCAGTTATAGTAATTATTCCAATAAACATCTGGATGGTTTAGATGATTCGTTTTGCATCTAAAAAAATCTCCATATGGCATTCTTGATTTTCCTTGGAGGTCTCTGCCATGCAGGTGATGCTGATAAGTCGATACAGCAGTAACTCAGGACCTTGATATCTATGATAATCTAATGGCATACCGACAGCATGTGGGTAAACATAATAAGAATGCCTAGGGGCTCATGTATAAATGATGCATAACAACAAAACATATGCATACACATTGTCCCTTAAAGTTTGACATTTAAAATAAAGCAATCACAGCAGACTATGTGCTCCATGCATATGCATATGTTGAAAAGGAAACTGGTGTATTACTGTATCATGTAATGATTGCAAATTAAAACAAGGTTAATGCAAATAAAATGTCCTTTGTGTCTTTACTACATTGTAGAGCTACTCATATCAGAATAACCGTGACTAGAAATGGAAATGAAAATACTGTACAACATGCCCTAAAGCTTTTGTTGCCTGTATGTTTATAAATTCTAAAGCCAACCAGAAATAAGGTGATTTATCCTTAATATTATTATGTTGACTGTTGCCCTATAAAACTTAACATAAACAAGATGCATTTAGAATAATCTTTCATAACAGTGATAAGTTATGGGAAGGTGAATAAATGAAGCTCTATTATATGTGGCAATGTTAGAGTTGCTGTACAGTAAATGTCACATAATATGGCTGCAAGTTAAGATGTACGGAGGCTGCTTTGGTACTGCTGGAGGAAAATAAACTTACATGAGAAAGTATATTTTGAGATCATGTTGACAATAGTCCTAATTGATGAGGGTTGTGTTTCATTGCAAATTTTTTTTTGTAAATAATTGTCACAAATTCTATGTTATGTCTAATGCCATTGAATTCCTCTAACACATATCTCTGGGACTCATGTTCACCCATCTCTCCAGTTGATGAAGCTACAGATTGTAGTTTTATTGCCATGTGCTTTTTGGATTTTCTCGTCAAGATTAAATGAGTTGAATTAGTAACAGCCAAATATGGGGTGTCTGATGAATATTTTTGGCTGATTGTCACAGTCTGATGTGGATGTTGAGCATAATGACCGGCACAAAAATCTGTCAGTCGAGTTATTAGAAAAGTCAAGCATACAGTCTTTCATACATATTTGAAGTAATATTTCAAATATTCATACGTCTAAGTGCAGCTGATCTGTCCAGTGACCAATGATCTTGTATTCTGTGGTGTTATTTGTGATCTGGTATTGGTAGATTTCATAGCGACCAGGAGCATCTCCATTCACGTTGAAGACCACTGGGGTGCCAGCAATTCCTGCGGATGAAAAAAAAAAACCGTTACTGCTGTTATAATTTTAGTTTTAGAAACAGATTTAAACTTAAAGCTTCAACTCCAGTGCTGTACAATACAAACTCAAGCCATTATTCTCATAATGCTCTGAGATTAAATGAGGCTGCAAGGGGACTTCAAGCCAATTCTGTAATAATGTTAATGATGGGAGCAAAATATATCTTGACAGCCATGTTTTCCTGGTCCTTTGAGGAGGGCCAGGGCTGCTGTCTGTTCATGTTCCCATATCATTTCACACTCCTTCATTCTGCTTATTGCCCCATTGCTTGTTATCCACAAGGTCCCCACTCAGAGTGCTAACGAACGACAGCACTGATTTTGATTACCACTTTGAGGTCTCTCTCAGAGCAGACCTACAAACCCCCTCTCCAGCCTCACCACTTGTTATCAAATTGCGGTATGAGGGAACGAGGATTCACAGATTTGAGACCACCACAGAATGTCTCTGAGGAAAGGACCATTAATAGCATCCCCATCTCTGTCTATTTGGGCCTATAAAATGTGCTTTCTTCTCCTTTGATGCAATCTCCTTATACTCAGCAATATTGTAACATGTTGAAATGGGGGCTGAAAAGTAAAAAAAAAAAAAAAGCCCTTAGCTAACTTGTAGCTGAAATGTGTTTTGGATTGCCCACAGTCAATATTTGGATGTTGTGTACAGTAGATTCTAGTGCTACATCATTGACTGCATTTTTCTGCAAAAGAATAGGGATATACATCATGCCCAGACAGTTTTCCAGCATTTGGGAGAGATATGTTCATGTTACACAACTATTGACTACACTCTGTTCTGTCATGAGAATAAAGGGAAATATTTATGTGATTGTTTTGTTCACCTTAATAGGTCACAGTATTGATTGTTGTTTGAACCTGTGAGTCAGAGCTGGAAACCTGTGAGTCAAGCTATGTGACCAGACTTATTTTTCCACTTCTGCGGATATGTGTGTGTCAGAATTCTGTTTAAAACCCATAGGATTTAATTGCATTACCATCATCCTGCTGCATTATCTAGAGGGCATGTGTAAGACAACAGCAGGCATTCATGTGCAATTATGAAACCTTTCTTGCCCATCTCAGCAATACAGGGAATTGAGTGGGATGTATGTTTCTATTAATTTGATTTCCTTAATCGATTAGTTTCACCTCTTAACTTGCAAAAAGGCATCGCAGGTTTCATGCAAAGCTGGCCAAAAATAACAAACTGCTTGTTTATTAAACAACTGATATTTTTGAGGAAACACTACACAAGATAACTCTTAGTAATGAAAGCAATGTAATCTAGGAAAACCCATATACTGCTAGCAGCTGCTGCTCTGCCCAAATGCACTGAAAATAAAATGGTAAATAAAATTATTTTAACTCTAAATGTAGTTTATAACAGTGTGTGTGTGTGTGTGTGTGTGTGTGTGTAGGACTCTATGTTAATGCATTGAGAGCTGAATTAACACAATTGTACTGTGTGGAGAAGGAAAATGTGTGCAGGGCAATGTGTAGGCACAGTTTAACATGCATTTCAAATCAGATGCAAGCAAATAAACATTCATTGCAGTTGTGTGTGGCTGTGAATTTCAGCTGTGTTGTCCATTTTAAAGCTAGTTTATTGAGGGAGAGACAATTCGACCTCTACTTTATTTCTCTCAAGAATTGATAATGTAATCAAACAAAACAGTAATTTTTCACTCCATTAAAAGCCATTAGCCATAGCCATAAGAAATCTAATGTGCTGATCAAAATAAGATAGAGATTTTGCCACTGAACTTTAGTTTCACTTTAGAAGTGCAGAGGTGGCATCAGTGAACTCAACTTCTTTGATGGGTTGTAGATACACGCTAAGGAAAACAGAATTACCACGCTCTCTTCATAGATACAAAGCAATAATTTAAAAACACCAAGATTCAAAGCTGTCAGAGACTGTAATTTATTTCTACTCCAAATGGAGGCTGAGCCTTACATGGTAATTAGTCATTCAGTTAGGCAGAGTTGAGGGCCAACGCTGGGGTAAATTATCTTTTTAGTGTTCCCTCTTTTATGACACTGACCTCAGAAATACTTTAGTCTTTCAAACTGCATTATACCCTCACAATTTGCTGTACTGTGCTTAATATTCCTAGTTCCCTGGACGGGCAAGATCCATTATTAAGCATTATACAACAATATAATTTGAGATCCTATTATAGGTTGGGGTAATAGTTGGTGTTGGTTTGAACAGAGAGATGCAAAACAGGGGCTGTTATTTGTGCTACACATCCACAGCATAACCCTTTTAACATGGCTTAATTAATGTACTGCTAATTACTCCACCATATATCTTTAACATATGATCATGCAATTGAAGTTACTTCTATATTAAATTAAAATAAATCAAACCTCAGGAAAACAGCTTTACATGACTGTTTAAACCCAGTTACAGCCAACCTTTAATCACAACACTTTTAACAGGGCTTTACTATCAAGTTTATGTCTTGCAAGGTTACTTTGTAAAAAAAAATGTCCTGAGGAAATATAGCATTAAGGACCACTGAGTTTGAACTATTTCTGAATATAACAGGCAGCAGTTTCGTTCAGCATCACTGGGATCACAATCTCAATACCATGCATCAATAGGTATCAACTTCATCTACAGTATCTGTAGTGCTTGGGTTTCCTCTTTCCTTTAGTCAGCATGGATGTCTACAGGCAATTCCCAGAATACACTGGGATCATGTGGACATTCCTGTTGTTTTCCTACAAACCTTTTAAATCCTCCATTCCTCTGTGCCCAAAGACTCTTAAAAGCAAGACAGTATTCCGGTAATGTGCAGCATTGATTTTTCTAGCCATCCCTGTTGTAACCCCAATGACTTTAGTGCTGACAAGCCTTCCAGTAATATAACACAGTGAATAAAGGAATGTATAAATAACTGTAGTTTAATTCTGTAACAGTAACCTGTTTTACAGCATTTCAGAGTAAAGCTTACTCCAATGCTGGAAGAACTGATCTACACTATCCTGAAGTCATATTTGTTTAATATGACTTCAGGATACAACTCCAAACATTTTTTTTCTTTTTTTCTTTTACACAAATGAGGACTGACCTGCTTACATAGTAATAAGCACACTCAGGAACAGGTAAACAATGTTTTGACTTTGAAGATGGGGCATACAATAAAACAGTGCTGAGTGGTGCAGAGTTTCCTTTGTGTCCATTAAGGATGAAAGCTAACTGCTGCAAACATAAGTGTCAAGTTATCCTTTATTATATTATTATATAAAGGTTATGTTGACTACATTATTGAAAAAAAAAATCACACACTTAATTCATATTCATGTTTCTTTGTTTTCCTACTTTGTCTTTACTATAAAACTCTAAAATCTATAAACCAAACCTTTCAGGAAATAAATGCCAAATCCTGACTTTTCCTTTAACAGTTTTGTACATTTTTCTCCAGTATCAATTTTTTTTAATCTAATTTATTGTAAATTATTCCTGTCATGTACTTGCAGTGGCATGACTGCCTCTCACACAAAGATCCCACTCTGTAATTGTCATACAAATAAATGTATCCATTACTGTATAATCATCTGTGAGGGTAGAGCAGGTTTAAGACAGTGTCAAACTGCTCTCATTACATTCTGCTTAATTGCATGAACACTCTGACCCTCTACTCATCTGACATATAATTAGCCCAAGTTGTTAACCACTAACACTGACCAAGTAAGACCCCATTCTGTGTACATTTTCATTATTTCTTCACCAGCCAGTAGGTTAAATTCATGCGCATGCTGGTTCCATGACCTCCCTATGTATGTATCTTTTCTGTACATGTAATTTTCAAAGTTTTTATAGTGCATCTTACTTGCAATGTTAAAGTGTTACTGTTTTTGAATCATGTGTTCAGACGCTCAATTAAAACCTAAACTTTCGACCCTCTAAATATCAGTTTCTACACTCTTAGTTAGGAATGTAAGAATATATCGTGAAACAATTCAATTGTGCTAAAAATATGTGAAGATTCAAATTGGTGAGATTAAAAATTAATCGTGGCACACTTTTGACTTGTGTCCTATGTCACTTGCAACGGTAGCAATAAGGGAAGACTCTGAAATTGAGGATACCCCATCCTGTTAAAATGGATGGTGTGGCAGTCAAGTCAGAAAATAAGATACGAAAATAACAGACAAGACATGGCAAGAGATATGAAATTATATTTTCAATTTCACTTTTACAAAGAATAGAAAAGGATTTCAATGTTTTTGTTTGTTTTGCAATTTGATTATGTAATCAAATTTAGAATATTTGACAAAAGAGATAAATCCACAGCAAGCTGAAGCACCATTGAAATATCAACTCTGGTGGAAAACTATCTAACAGAGACACTATTTCTAAATTACCTTGAACCTTGTTTGGCATTTCAGTATTGCAATTTCTTGTTACTTATCAGCCAACGCATACACAATATATCAGCTCATGTATCTGCCTGGCTGATTATCGTCTAGCTCTAGTAGTGGATGCCAATTTGTTTCACAATATTTTCTTAGTTTTTTCTGAAATACAAACAAGAGACATGCTCAATAAGGGATCACATCAAGTTGCAGAAGCTAGTGGAACAGATGTTGGACAGAAAGTGAGGTCAAACCTTTAGCTCTCTGTTACATTTTAGGTGTTCAGCTGATACTTTTATAGGGAATGACTTATAAAATGCAAGGGTCAAAGCCATGTGACCTGTGTCATGCGTTCATAAGTGCATTAAACTCTACCTGCACTAAACTACCTATTTCTGTGTGTTTGCCAGTAATGCAAAAAAAATGGATTTAAGTGTACATAGAACAGCCACTGAAAAACTACTGATGCCTGTTTTAGCTGGTGCTGTCTGTTAACTCTCCCCTCTCATTTTTGTACAATTTTAACTCCACTGCCAATGCACTTTAAGCAGGAGATCTTTTGCGTGGGCGATTCAATGCTGACAAGATAAGACGGGAAATCTCACAAAGCACAGTTCCTGCGTATCATCAGCTATGATAAAACATGCTGTTCTGCTGCTGATTGTCAACCCTCCTACGGATCTCAGCCTCTTATACTTGCTGAGAGTAATTTACATTCAGTAGCCTGATAATTGGAGACCACTGTACTCACAAAGCCTCTGCATGAGCATGTTGGTGAACCCAAAAATAGGACATACAAGTTGCTTCAGATTTCACCACACAAATGCCTCAGAATGATAGTTATCTGAGATAGCTTTACTACAAATAAACTGATTTCTTATGATATCATATACATTTAGCAGAATACTTAGTGGGACTTGGTTGTTTTTGTTTTAAATTAAAGGTAGCAAAATTGGTTAGCACTAACAATTTGTGCTTTATGTGAGCCTACCTAGGTGGAATTAGGAGTACATACCTGTGAAGTTGACATTGCGGATGTATTTTAGCAGCAGTGTGCCGTTGATGGTTTCCATCTTGGAGCAGAGGCCGACTTTTCCTGGACAAAGATCTTTGTGCATGTTATGTAGGGCATGAGCCGTGGCGTAAACTGCGTCAATCACAAACTGAACCTTCCCCTCTTGTTCGTACGATGAATCTTTCCCGATCCGCTCGTGGTCTAGAAGAAAAAAATTAACAACACAACAATTACAACTCATAAAATTTGGTCCCATTGGGACTGACTTGATGAATTTGTAAATACTGCAAACAATATGATCACTGATTTAGTTGAACATATATATGTTCCCATCTGTGTTTTACTGGCTGAGTCATTGCAATCATGACAGGCAATCAAGACTAAAATATTTGATATGACATAATATTCAGAACAAAAAAGCTGCTCTACAATCAATCAAAAATGTAAGAACAGTGATTGCTAGATGTGTAAAATCAAGCAAATGATAGCCTTTCAAGAGGCCTGATTACTCAATTGTGAACCCATCTTTTTTCACCATATTTAATTTATTTAGAGATTGGCGTTGAATTGTGCATGTTAACAACTATTTATATGCTATTTATTCTAGACATCAATCACAGAATCTCCTCTCACAAAATCCAAAATGGTCACGTGTGCAGCCTTTCTCATTATGGTCTGTCAATCACTGATTAGACCCTAACCCTGACCCCAAGATTATTCCACAAGACTCTTTTTGTGTCATATATCTTAATCTGCCTTTTGCAATGCAGCTAACAGCATTTGAAATACTGTGTGGCCTCATGCAAATATCTTAATATAATTATAATAGGGAAATTCCCCTTAATACAAACATATATTGGAAATGTGCTTTGATAATTGAGGGAACCTTCTCCAAGTGCTCTCTGGTCTTGTATCATCTCTTAGTGTTTATCCTCACAAAGTCACGTGCCACCTCACATCAATTAATCAAGAGCACAGAGTGTGATAAAGTGGTAGAGGATGAGTGGAAGACACAGCAAGACAGGCCTAATCATTCTTCAATATTAATGTAATTAGTTATGACAGGTGTGTATTAATCATAGCTGGGGTTGTACTATCGCTTTAAAACTGTTAACCGCCAAGCAAGGTTTCAATTAGCAGTTTAATCATTTTTATTATCCAATGCCCTGCTAGATATCATGACCAGGAAGAGTGAGAGCAGGACATTGTTACTGATTTAGATAATATACGTCAACAGCAACAATGGACAGGAATTAAAGAGCAAGATTGGAAAAAGTTTCAACCTTTAAAAGTAGCTTGAGTAGAAAGACACCCCTTTTCAGACATGTACATCCATTAAATTAATCTGATCGTTATTGTAAGTCAAGATGGCGATCTTACTAGATCAGACTTAGTAATCTTTCCAAATCACTTTCTACATGGCACAAAGTCTGAATTGCATGCCATTAAATGTAAAGTCTGCGGCTGCTCACAGGCTAAACATGCAGAGAGAGAAAAAGAGATGCAGTTCTTGTTCCATCCTTTAAGATCACTCTGTATCTCAGTCATCATCTCTTATGCACAAAGAAACTAATATCAGACAACAGTTTAATGTGAAAAAGCCAATTTTCCATTTCTTCTCAGATCAGCAAAACTATTTTTACAAGGGTAAAAATAGTGTGACCGGGGAAAAAGAGGTTAAAAAAACCCTCATATAACCACAGTATCAGATCTGCACTTTCTCCCTATAATTTATTTTTTATTCCAACTCAATTAATAAATCAGTGTCCAGCAAAATGCTTTACATACAGCATGTTGGCTAATAGGAATGAAACAAGAATCCCAGCTTAACATCCTGTCTTTCAATGCTTCTGAAATGACAGAATGTATAAAGCAGGCAGAAAAAATCACTCTAATAACTTGATAATTAAATAGATTCATTTTCATTATAATTATCAAAATATATCAGTGAATTCACTGTGAGAAGCAGGAGAGTGTCCCTTGCACTCAAGGATGATGGTCATTAATCAAGGCTTCAACGCCAAAATCAGTTTTAAAATCCATCAGTAGTGCAGCCTGTGAGAGAACAGAAAACAATCTTCTTCCTTGCTATCATTACATTTTTAACTCACAGCTGTTCTCTCTGCATGAACATTGTGGCTAAATGTGCTGTCATCTTTGAATGAAGCTGTAAGGAACATTTGTGTGAAAGGACATATATGTTTGAATGACAAAAAGCCATCACGTTGAATGCATTTATATATTTACTGCAGCACAATTTGCTTGTTACCTTATTAATTCGGTTTTGTTAAAAACTATAAGAACAACTGAGGTATAAATGCAAATTATGATCTCTTAATAATTATGTAACTGTCCTTATGCCCTGTCATAATTATAAACCTAAATTAAGGTAACCTTTTGTTTAATACTGACAAATGAAGAGTTATCCGTAACCTCCACACAAGTTGAAGTGCTCACAACTTAATTCTTAAAGCTCAAATAAACTAATTTGTGAGAGTATTGGCAGGACAGGAACAGAACAAACACTCACAATTTCACACTGAAGTTCAATCACAGATTTTAGTGCTGGTACAACTGCTATGAAGAGGGCTCAGTAAATATAGACACTCCACATGTGGACTGCATAAGCTTTTATCTGCAACCCATTTGAACAGTGCTTTCCTTCATTTTAATGTGTTGATTATTTCTTCCTTTGTCAATGAATGCTACAGGAGTACAAGCTAGATTCTTGCAACGTGACAGAGAAGACTTTTGAGCGACATGTAGCCATGTTTTAAAAGCATGTGAATTACAGAGCATTGCAAATGTATCCCCCTTGGAATATTTTGTAAGCAGAGACGGGAATGACAAGTGATGAGGCTGAAATTGCAGAATTGACACTTCTTTATTCTTTGTGACAATGTCTTAAAGGGAAACTGACTTTTTGAATTTTATATAAGATATTTTTGGGGCCTTTTTTTATGCCTTTATTTAATATGTCAGGTGGAGATAGTCAAGAAATAGGGGAAGGTAAGGGTTAAAAAAGCCGAGTGGCGTGGTGAGTGCGTGGCTTTCCACACACTATATGCTGCCCCATCAGAGCTGGAAGAATTGCATCTCCAGTACTTAGGGTAATGTAGAGCTGGTTGAAAATAAGCAACATTTCTGTTAAGAGCTTATTAATGTCAAGGCGCCCTAGTCTTTATGTATTAATGCTGAGTTCCTACCACAGCGGACTAGGTTTGATTCCAACCTGCAGTCATTTGCTGCATGTCATCCCCCNNCCCCACTTTTCTTTAAATAGTCTTTTTTTAAGGGCTTATTAAAGGCAAACCACAAGACTCACACCCTGTAATAGAGGATCATTTGCATCAGCTCAGTAGATGGTCTATATCCATCTGTTCCCTTGTGCTTTGAAGGTTGATGCTTTTTTAGAATAATGAAATCCACTGATTTTGAACTCTACCCAGCTTGAGGGGAAATAAATGTTTGGGAATTGGGTAATTTGTATTACAGCACCTCATTTCATCTGTACCATCAAAGAATGTCTTGAAAGAGTAAGAGTCTGAATATTAGCTCATGTCAATAACACATAATGTGGAAAAGGGGAAAAATTGACTTTAATCAATTTGGTGTGTTAATGGGTGTGCTCTGGTGAAAATTGGCCCCACTATGCGTTTTCTTAATTACTGAAGAGTTGTTATTGCTCTGACATTTTGTAATAATTCTACATGAATATATAACTTAAATGATCTGCTTACCTGTCATCAAGGGGGTAGTACTTAAGTTATTTGCACCATTGCTTTCAATTAAGGTTAAGTTCCATGTTACTGAACAAACACTTTTTCACTGTCTCATTCACAAGCTTGTGGCAAGACAAGCACAACACAAGATAATGTAAACAGTGCATCATGATCAGATAACAAAAAAACGACATAAAGCAGTTGATAAACTGGAATCATGTTTTGTTTGGATGCCTTGCAAGATGTCTGTGGCAGCCATTTTTTTATCTCACCAGAGATGCTTCATTTTAACAAGCGCTAGTTTTAAATAGATGAATAGTGTTTGTTTGTCTTGTTGTTATTATCTATATGCTCCCACAGTATTTGCTTGCTCAGAAGAGGCAATTTAACATCGGTGACAAGGCTCTGAATGTTTAAGGAGCTTGAATATTGCAAGCTATTCTATAAATGTGTGATACTGGCAAAGTGAGTCATGGATAGGTGGTCTGTCACTTTTTGTGGCTGTCACAGCCTCTCTCATTGTAATGTTTCTCTCTCTCTTTGAACCACTCTCTTTCTTCTCTCTTTCTTTTACACATGACTATACAAAGACAATTGCCTCATTAATGGCAAGTTGTGTCAGAGGTTTGCCTTGCCAGCTAACAACCAAATGTTTTTATGTTTGGCTTTCCTCTAATGCTCCAGCTTCACTTTCCAAAGACATGCAAGGTCAGACAGACCAATGGTTCCTGACCTTTTTTGGCTTTTGACGTGTTAAAATAAAACAATACGTGCTTGAGATCTCTTCTCGTAGGTTCTGACCTAATAAAGCACTGGGTTTGAAGGATTTTTATGGGCATGAAGAGTTGAAAGTATGTAGTATTTCAAATGAGAAAGAGAAACATGATTCTGTGAAGCAGAAATGTTGTTTTTCCTTTCTTATCCTTTTAATCGTTGTGTCACCTCCTTAGATTACAGTTTGGGAAACACTAAGGTAGACTGAATATTGTAATTTGTTTAAGTCTGTATATATGGGGCTTTTCCAAAAGCTTTTACCACTCCCATCTTCCTCACTAGCCTACCACCAAGTATAGTCACTGTGGTGATGAAGGCGTAAAGAAGGGAAGGAGAGAAAAATTATGCGTTCGCTGGTTCTGACACATTCTTTGTGACAGGTGTATTGTTGGAAAACACTGAGCTAACCCAAGATAATCTTTCTTTATACATTTTCTTATTTAAAATTATTTAATCAGGTAAGGGAGAACAATGTGGGAAAACCCATATCAGACAGAATTATAACATGGCTTCACTGGCTGGTAGATGGAGGAAAAGGTGGATGTTAAGATGTGCTGCAGGAAGGTTAGTCAGTAGTGCAAAACAAGCATTGATGTGAATGAAGATGAAACCGTGCTACTGTATCATTTTATCAGTGCTCTAGGAGTTTCGATCAAGGCAAACCTTCAGATTCTGAAAGAACACAATGATCCAGAAAGCTCCAGG